GTATGTATAAAAAACTGAATTATTCATTAATAAAAATATATATTCATATTAAAATAAAAAATAAACTCATCTACCATCATGATTATATTCATTAAAAGACTCAATCGAAGTAACCCGTTATTATAGTTTCATAGGCAAAACAAGACTTGTCCATTTAAGAGTTAACAGCTGGTTCACTTTGTGTGGGAATAATAAAAATTTTAATGAGAATTAAATTAGAAGTCAGAATCATTTCTTTCAAATTTATAGATTAGATATATCACATGTTGAAATTCAAAAAGATAAACAAATACTTATTTCAGAAACAAAGATTATTTATCTTATCATCAAATCTGATGAAGAAGATAATTAATAAGCTCTTTTATTGCTCCAAACATAGGCCTTCCGCCATTTTATCACTTATTATATTTCCGAATGAATTCAATATAAATGATTATATCCACATGGTGTTGAACAGATTTTCGGTCAATACTTCGCCTAGCATTATGCATTCACCAGAGAAGGTCTCTTGTTAAGAGTTCTAAATTACAACGTCACTGGAAAAAACGTTCAAAATATATGAGTCAATGCTCATCAAACGGTTTTTTATGAGGCAGAACAGCTAATAAAAGCTTAGACCCTTAATTGATCTATTTATTCAAATCAATTTTAATAGACTTCATTTTTTAAACGTGTTTCAGATATATGCATCATCAGTCTCGTTCTTAAAATTTGCTTTTGTCTTATTGTGTAAGATTTGTTTAGATTTATCTTTGAGAAAAATTAGAATTTTGTTTTTTCTTCTTTCATTAGAAATACAAGAGAAAATAGTTTCGAAATGAAAACTTAGTATAAATATCGAACATATTCAACAAGAAGAAGAAGAGTCAGAAAATTTATTGACATCACTCATAATAACTCCGATTGGAACAAAACATTTTCGTCGACAATTGAATGAACAAAATTTTGGTACGTCTATCGAAAAAATACTTTTTAGAAGAAACTATTAATTACGCTTGCCTATGTATCTATGACATAAATGATCATATATTATAAAATAAATCATGGCTTCACTTCGGTTATTTCCATTGAAGTTGTGCTTAATCGACAGTTGTCGCAGCATAGATAAAAATAATACATGTCACTCATTTCTAAAATCAAATCATAGCGTTTAGGAGAATTATTCAAGTAATCCTTCATCTTCATCTTATTGAGTTTCTTCAGCGAGTTCATCACAAATTGCAAGAAGCTATGATTTGTTTTTTAGTACGTACAACCAATAGTGTGTCAAATTGAATATATTCTCGTCTTCTTCTTTTCAGGCGAATCCGAATTGATGAATCGTTTTGATGATGAATAAAAACCATTCTTATTCAGCAATGACATTGAAAAACTACCGTATAAAGTTGCTCATATCAATCTAGCTGAATGAGGCCCAAAAGCATTGTCAATAGCTGAAGCTAAAATACCAGGAGTAACGCAATTAAGTAAAATCTTTAATCATAAACAATCATTGAAAAGTGTTCGTCTTGCTGAATGTTTACATTTCACAGCATAGACGGGATTAATACTTGAAACATTTTCTCAATTAGATGCACAAGTAGACTATTTTCTTATTTTGTTTGTTTTTTGTTGTTTTCAAATTCTTAAGATATACGTATCATATAGCACATACTAATTTGATATATAAATATATTTTATGAAAAAAACTCATTAAATCAAGCAAACAAATTATTTCGATTTACTCAAGAAAATTATTTGATTATATTTGAAACTTCATATATGAAAAATCGAAGGAAATATTCGATGGATTTCGAATTAATTGGTAATAATGGTCCTGAGAAAAGAATGAAATCTGATGCAAAAATTCTTTAAAGTAAAATTATAGACGCCTTTTGTACGATATTCAGAAAAGAAACATTTCCACGTGTTAATTCACTTTTGATTCGAGACTTAGTACATCTTATAGATCTTCAACAACTATATCTAACAAAAAAAGAAAGGTCATATTGATTGTCTGTTTCTCAAAAAAAATCGAGCGTTTTTAGTCAATTTTCGTTGTAGAACCCCATTTTTCTAATGCATTGGGAATATCTCTCAATTAACCAACAAGATTGATAATTCTTTGATAGTACAGCTCGATTCAAAAACAAAAAAAAATCTTCAGGCAAAACTTTTGAAATTTTTTTTCTGAGTTGAATTAAAATATCCGCATCTTCTAATATGCATTTCAAACTTTTGAGCAAGATGACTTCTAATGTGGAAAGAGATTTATATTATCTATTGTATCATTTATCATTGGATTGTATTCAGTTCTCTCTTCATCAACTATTACTCTCTTTGATAAAACAATGTTGATTCAATTAACTTGGTTTTTATGCAAACATATTTTTTTGCTCAGTATCCATTTCGTTGATATTCAACAAATTCAATGCAAAAAGTTAAAAGACTTTTTAAAACTTTATTTGAATATATATATGGATATGCATTTACAATAAGCATTACAAGAACTCGGACATTTTGTTTAATTATTTCAAAAGTAATACGTAAAAATATTTCATAGTTAGAATGTTCTGATTCTTCGCTAATTTGGTATGTTTGACGGAGCAATAGTCGGAAGAGTTGGTGCAATTCTTTGAGTGTTATTTTTGCAAGTAATCATCATGATACATTCTCGTCGAAATACACCAAATGTAATAAAATAAAGTGGAAATGATGTTATATGATATGTATAAAGAGCTGAATCTAATATTTTCATAAGAGTAGTAGTTGGTGTTGTGAAGAAAAATGCAGCGACAATTGTTGCTGGTATAGTCATAATCAAAAAGAGAAATGTTGTAAGAACCAAAGTAATCGATATAGCTCGATGTTGAATATTTGAATTTTGAATTACACGTGCCTGACGACGATGAATCAAATGATAGATAACACCACTGTTGAATATAATCATTAATATAAATGGTGCACAATTATATAAACCTAAATTAATATAATCCCATAGTGG